ACGACCGCGCTAGAATTCTTTGTGAAAAATTTCATTATTTTTGTGCTTTTTGTGGGGAGCCCCTACGGCTCCCTGGAACTTATCGGGCTAATGTATGTTATATTAGACCGAGACATTAGCTATGGAGTTCAGACCTACCAGAGACCAGCGCCAGAACCTGGCCCCTTCAGAGAGGTTGCAGGGAGCAATGGCCCTGGAAAACCTCTGTGGTTGGGGGTTTTCCTTATCTGCCATCGACTGGGGTTAGGCACCCAGAAAGGTAGGCATAACAAAACAAACCCCACATGGTAAGAAACTAACAACAAAAATCGAACAGAAAGGTAGAAACTCCCTACAATCCCAAGGAAACAAACAAACAAGCAAATGTAACACACTACTGCCGCGCCGTTCGTCCGCGCAGCCCTCCCCTCCTCGAGAGGAGGAGGGAGGGGCCCCGGACTTCACCACGCCAGTTGCATAGCACTGCAGTTCGTAAGCTAATGTCAACCGGGACAGACGCTTCTCTGGCCTCAGTTTCCTAGGCGGTGTTTGCCTTCATGGCATTCACTGCTGTGTTTTTGTGTTGTGCAGTAGCCAGGTGTTCATCAGTACCGGGGCTGCATGTGCTTAGGGGGCTTCCTTCCCTAAGTGCCCTATGAGTACTGCCCCTGCGTGCCAGGGTTATCTTCCCTGGGGTGTTCGGGAACCATTCCCATAGAGGTTTTTGCCTCGCCCTTGGGGCCCTTGTTTGGGCTTGGGTAGGGACTGGTATTGTGCTGGTTAGGGCGTCAAGGTGTTGCGCGGCCTGCCACCTACGCGGCGACCGGTTCCTGTTGCTTTTGGGGATGGTGTACTTTTGCAGGGTTTTTCTTTTGTTTTTATTTTCATTTGCATGGTGGAGGTCTGTCTAGTGTGGCTGTAGTTCCACTGGTAGTGTTTGGTGGCCCTCTGCTAGGCCCCCGTGATTGTACACATCGCAGGGGTTTTCAGTGTTTCATCTACTCCTTGTTAGTTTGGGTGTTAACCGGCTAGCAACACCTTACCCAGGCTTCCCGTAGCAGTCTGTCTACGGGCCCTGGAAAACCCTGTAGGAGCTCGGTGGACCAGTGCCACCAACCCCACAGGCAGCAGACGGAGGCAGAGACAGAGAGAGTCACCCTGAGACAAGGGGACAGAGCAACCCTCGAACTCGCCCAAAGCGAGGGGGGGACTCTGGGGTCACATCCAACGAACCTATGCGCCCCCTAGGGGATTCCCAGGGGTCCTGAGCATTTACAAAATTCACGCCCAGGTAATCTCAGGCAGGGTACTGCTAACCAGGGCCCAAGTCTACCAAACAGTCTCCTAAGTACTGAACCCCTGGGACATGTACAATCACGGGGACCTAGCAGGGGGAACCACCAGAAGGAAGAATACTCAATACACAGAAGGGGGGGGGGGCAAGAACCAAGGCAGACCCCCCCACCAGGCAGATAAACAAAAAGAAAAAGAAAACCCCGCAAGAGGACAGCGTACCCAGGCGGAACAGAGCCGGGCACTATGATTGGCGAAAACAAGCTGCGCAGTACCCTGTGCCCCAGTCAGCGCAAAACTGCCCCTCACCCTAAGGCGAACAAGAGAGACAGAATACCCGAGCACACGAAGAGCGGCCGAAAACCAAGCAGTAAATAGCCTAGCAGAGGCAGAACCCAAGGAACTTGGGGAAGGTAACCCCAAGCCCCAAGGGCAGTAATTACAGGGCACCTAGGGAAGGAAACCCTAGACACATGCAGCTCGAGTACTGGGGAATTACTCCCGACTCACGCACTACCTAGAAGACAGTCACCACACTAGGTACAGTGCTGAAACAACCACTGGAGCCAGAGCATACGACCATTGCCAATAGCATCAGCCTCAGAACTGAAGGGTGGGTAGCCAGGCGGGGGTCTGGGGCTCCCCTTCCCCCTCCTGGGAAGGAGGGAGCTGCGCAGACAGCAGCGCGGCGACATGTGACGCCATGCTCGTTTCCTCGTTTCTTTTGGGGGAGTTCTATCCACTAGTTCGGCTTTTGATAGCAATTTTCACCAGAATAGGGGTTTGTTTTGGGATGCCTACTTATCTGGGTGCCTGACTCAGTAGATGGCAGACATAGAATGCTTCCAACCACACAAGGGTTTCCATAGCCCATTGCTCCTCATGCCTGTCTGTGGGGGGCCAAGTTCTGGCTTGTGGTCCCCGGTAGGCCCACAGAACTCCATACACATGACTGATGCCAAAGTCTGACATTAGCATATCAGCCTGGATAATCTCCGGGGAGCCTCCGGGTCTCGCCCAGAAAATGGCGTTTCATTACATTCAACACTGTTTTTTTTTAATCTAGTGTAGCTTGATGAAACACAAAGATGTATAATGGTGAGATAACGGCAATATTTAGTACCGTACAGTAATTGCGTAACTTGGTGCCGATCATGGTGTAGTGATGCAGCAACCACTGTCCTGAGTGTACATGAAAGAATGCTAAAAGGAATGGGTTAAAAGTGGAATGTGGTGAGGGGAGTTAAAAAGCAGAAATAAGAGAATTTTGAGTATAATTTGTTAATAAATTAATATTAGTGTGAGAAAGTGAATAACTTGCCAGTGTTCAAGGGGCTTGTGTGATAAATTTAAGTATGAAATGGTAATGACAGTAGTTGTGATTGCATATGCTTGGTACTCGCCTAGTTGTGTTTGCAGGAGTTGAGCTCTGGCTCTTTGATCCCGCCTCTCAACTGTCAATCAACTGGTGTACAGATTCCTGAGCCTATTGGGCTCTATCATATCTACATTTGAAACTGTGTTAGGCACCCAGAAAGGTAGGCATCTGGGTACTAAGTTTCCACCTGTGTCCCCCTTGTTCGTGTTCCACCCGCGCTAAAGAGTTTGTCTTTGTCCACTCTGTCAATTTCCCTGAGAATTTTGTAGGTGGTTATCATGTCTCCCCTTACTCTTCTGTTTTCCAGGGTTGTGAGGTTCAGCTCCCTTAGCCTTTCCTCGTAACTCATTCCTCTCAGTTCCGGGACCAGTCTGGTGGCATACCTCTGAATCTTCTCTAACTTCGTCTTGTGTTTAACTAGGTATGGACTCAAGGCTGGAGCTGCATACTCCAGGATTGGTCTTACATAAGTGGTATACAGGGTCGTGGTGTGAAGACAGAAGCGAGAATTAAAAATATTATGGGGCACTTTAGAGAATACTATTGGTATATAACATTCTCTCCCTGCCCAATTTAACACTTTCGTTCCTTAGGGACGTAGGTGACGTCCAAAATTAAAATATTTGTTAAAATTCAAATTTTTATCTGATCTTTATGGGACTGGTTTTAAAATGTGCACCAACATCTTCCCATTCTATTGCAAACTGAGGTGAGAAACTTGAAAAGAGTAAATACATTTGTGAGCAGGTGTTGTGGGTGTGCCAGTGGGTTCTTGCTCGTGGGTAATGCTTGGCCGACTTTCGGCTTTGCTGCGGGGAGGTGCGCCGGACGTTTGGACCTAATACGCAAACACCCCTGTAGGGAATTCTACAGCGAACAAATTTATACCAAAATGAAAGATGTAGCACGAGAATTGGTGACAAAAGTGAAAAAAGTATACACATTTTATTACTTCTGCGCGTTCATGGGTAACGCTCAGCCGATTTCTGGATTTGGTGCGAGTGGCACGCAGGGCTTTTGGACCTTGTATGCATATACTGTACTCCTGTAGGGAATTCTTTTGCGAATATTTTAATACCAAAATGAATGATGTACAATGAAAAGTGAGGTGAGAAACTTGAAAAGAGTAAATACATTTGTGAGCGGGTACTGCAGGTGTGTTAATGGGTGCTGGCTCACAGATAGCACTTGGCTGACTTTTGGCTTTGCACAGAACTGATATATCAGCAATTCCCAACATTTTTTGGGGAATAGCCATATTTCCTTGAATGGAGATATGACTCACCAGTTGGGAACCACCTACCTACCTTGAGGCTACCTTGAGGTGCTTCCGGGGCTTAGTGTCCCCGCGGCCCGGTCGTCGACCAGGCCTCCTGGTTGCTGGACTGATCAACCAGGCTGTTAGACGCGGCTGCTCGCAGCCTGACGTATGAGTCACAGCCTGGTTGATCAGGTATCCTTTGGAGGTGCTTATCCAGTTCTCTCTTGAACACTGTGAGGGGTTTGCCAGTTATGCCCCTTATGTGTAGTGGAAGCGTGTTGAACAGTCTCGGGCCTCTGATGTTGATAGAGTTCTCTCTCAGAGTACCTATTGCACCTCTGCTTTTCAACGGGGGTATCTGCACATCCTGCCATGTCTTCTGGTCTCATGTGGTGTTATTTCTGTGTGCAGGTTTGGGACCAGCCCCTCAATTATTTTCCACGTGTAAATTATTATGTATCTCTCCCGCCTGCGCTCAAGGGAGTACAGATTTAGGCTCTTTAGTCGGTCCCAGTAATTTAGATGTTTTACTGAGTGGATTCTAGCAGTAAAGGATCTCTGCACGCTCTCTAGGTTAGCAATTTCTCCAGCTTTGAAAGGGGCTGTCATTGTGCAGCAGTACTCCACTCTAGATAGCACAAGCGTTTTGAAAAGTATCATCGGTATAGCATCTCTAGTGTGAAAAGTTCTTGTTATCCAACCTGTCATTTTTCTTTCTATTTTTTTTCTATCACCACTGTGATAGTAGGGTATAGGCTTGATGGTTTAAATGAAAGTTTCTTAACTGGAGTTCTGCAAGAGATAGTGATAAATAGGCTAATTCTAATCATGTGTTATGATTCTAATCATGTGTGTTTTGATAAAATTTTTGTGTTTAATTTTTTTCATATAACCAATATCAAGAGCAAAGACCAAAATTGCCTCTTTTTTTTTTTTTTTTTTTTTGCCTTTTCCTTTCGTGTGTGTGTTTATCTAAAGTACAACCTGGAATTATTTCCAGGATACAGAGGCTGAGAGACTTATTTAAATTAACTAGTGAAAAGAGTAAATGTTGAGAATAATGCTAATATACTGTATTCTCACTTACAGGATCTCAAGAAATACCACTACTACTACTGGTTTGCATTTCCAGCTTTTACATTACCAAAAACTATCCCTTTGATAAAGGAGCCACGGTGTCTTTCAGCTATACTGACAGATAAACAGGTTAGTCTCATGATTATAGCAACATAACCATCATTCACTTGACCGACTGGAGCAGGGGTTCAGTGTGCTTGTGTGACGTCTATTTGTGATATCTCCCTGGCTTTGCCTCTGACAAGGGGTTCCGAAATGGTCCTCTGCTTGGAGCATTTGGGGTTGCAGAGGCCCTGCATTGGTGCTGGTTCATCTGTTTGTCAGGATTCGTAGGGTGGTAGTGATGGCATTTTCCGAGCCCAATATCTCCTCGGTGGTTTATCCCTTGTATTTGTCAGGTATTTTTAGACCACCCCTTCAAGGGAACACTTTTATACCTTCCACCTTTTTTTCCTTAGGTTCCGAAGTAGATTTGGGCTCCATTCTCGACTTGATGACTTTGATCACCATGATCACATTTTTAAAGTCCTGAACTCTGATTAGGTGGTCTTTGTTTGGTAGGATTTGGCTGAAGGTGTTGTATTGCCATCTTTGTAGACTGGTACTCTGCACCCATCTAGACCACGTGGTGCAGCCTCCCTTGCTTTAACCCTTTAACTGTGCAACGCACCTGCAGGCCCAGGCTTCGGGTGCGCAACGCGCCTCCCGGTGTTTGTATTTTTCATGTCCAATTTAAAAGTGGCGCGCGGTGACATGGGTATGGAATAGGTAGCTGGGGGCCCCAGTGATCGTCTGCCATCTTGAAAAAAAATCCCAGCATGCCCTGTGGCCGTGGGGAGCCCCAGTTTCCAAGCAGCAACCATGTCTGACGCATCGTCAACAAGCTTTGTTCCACGGCGACCCGCGGTCATGGAAAACGACTCTCTGAGGAGGAAATTCGTGATATATTGTACGACGACGGTGCTATGGATGATGACCTGGACTATGATCCAGAGAAAGATCTGACACAGAGGTCCGATACGAGTGAGGGGGAAACAGAAGTGGATGATGTGGCAAGTGTGTACGGTACACGCTCCCCGCCCGGCCTGTCTCACCGCCCTGGGTCAACACCGTTATCATCACCACCATCATGTATGTCCCCAGATGCTAGTTCATTATTCAGTGACAGTACATGTGACGAATTGTTCTCGGGGTTCAGCGACATTGGCTCTGATACGAGTAATGTGGACAACCCCAGTACTAGCAGTGGGGGTGGTACCAGGCGGGGTTTTGCTGCCTCAGCAACACGCGCAGGCAGGCGGTGGCGTGTCTCACAGCATGACGACAGTGGGCCCTCAACATCGGGTGTTCGTGGTAGGCCTACGGTTTGGAAATCTGCCTCAGCATCAAGCATACCCTCACGCAGCTCCAGCAGAAGCAGCGGACGACGTAGCCGTAGTTTTGGTGCCTGTGGTGGTGTTGGCCGTGGTGTTGGCGCCAACACCAAACCCCCTGGTGTACTTGTGTGGGAGGATTGCGCCACATTTGTGCCCCAAATACCAACGTTTGTTGATACCGACGGTGTTACAGCTTTATTACTGTATACCGGTGATGATATGGTGGACATGGAATATTTCCAGGCATATTTCGACAATGTCTTCATGGACCATCTTGTGACCGAGACAAACACATACTCCCACACCCTCATACACGGCAGCATATTACCTGCCTCACGCGATGGAAGGATACGACAATGGACGAGATGTACGTGTTTCTCGCTATATGTATGATGATGAAACACTCTGAGAAAGCTGTCGTCCAGGACTATTGGAACAAAGACAGCCTTGTTTCATCGCCCATCTTCAACCGTTATATGACGCGGGATAGGTTTCTGTTGATTCTGAGGTGCCTGCATTTCGAAAATAATGCAAATGAGGACAGGCAGGACAGACTGTGGAAGGTTTCGCAAGGTATTCAGCAACCTGAGAGGGAAGTTCAGGGATTATTTTGTACCTGGACAGAATGTCGTTATCGACGAGTCGCTTGTATTGTTCAAGGGCAGACTGGCATTCAAACAGTACATCCCTTCCAAGCGGCACCGTTTTGGCCTCAAGTTTTTTGTGCTGTGCGATTGTGAGACTGGTATCGTCCTGGACATGATCTTGTATTCCGGTACAGACGTCGACATACCAGCTCAAGATGAACACGGGTTCTCCGGCAGTGTCGTAAAAACCCTGATGGAGCCGTTGCTGAACAAGGGCCATATACTGTTCACCGACAACTATTACACCAGGCCCCTGTTGACCAGATACCTCCTCGCCCACAACACTGGCGTATGTGGCACTGTGAAGCTCATCAGGAAGGAAATACTTGTGTTCGGTATAGGTATAGGTGTGGGTGAGTGCCAGCTGCGCAAGCGTGACAAGATGCTGTCAGTGCGGTGGAAGGACAGACGCGAAGTGAATATGCTGACAACGATTCACACCGGTGCCATGTTGGATACTGGCAAGGTCCATTTTCAGACACACAACCCCATATACAAGCCGGACTGTGTCATAGACTATAACGTGAACATGCGCCTCGTCGATAAGTGTGACAGGATGCTTGGTGGTGTGGAGTGTGTACGCAGGTCAGTGAAGTGGACGAAAAAGTTCTTCTTCCACCTCATGGATGTTGCAGTGCTCAACTGCTATAATACGTACTTGGTGAAGTCCGGCAGGAAACCATCTATACGTACCTTCAGTGCCAGCGTGGTGTCACAGCTGCTGGTAAAGTATGGCAAGGAGGGCTCCGTAGTACCCCACGGGGTGCAAGCAACAATGCCACGCGCAGCCCCAGACAGACTGTGGGGTAATGAGAACTTCGGGGTACACAGGCTGAAGTGTATGCCAAGCACAGCATCACGGGAGAAGGGTAAACGTGCATGCATAGTCTGCAGGAACACCACACGCAGACCACAAAAGCATAGATGCATCAGCCCCTGGTGCGTGGAGTGCAAGGTGCCACTCTGCCCTGTTGGCTGTTTCGCAGCATATCACACACTCGCGGAGTACTGAGTGTGTGTATATAGTGTGTGATACTGTACAGTGTGTATATATAATGTACATATCAATATATTTGTGTGATATATTAGAAATAAGTGCAGGATAAGTGAACCATTTTGTGATGCATGTAACACAGTGTCTACGGACAGTACGGATGTTCTACTGCCATAATATGGTGTACGTGATCACCATACATCGGTTCGGCACATAAAATGTAATAAAATGTATTTGGAACTGTGCGCAAAAAATGTGCAAAAATATATTCGCGACAACTCGCGCGCCCCGCCCAGGGCGCTCCACCTGCCCCGGGAGCATACTGCTCTAGCGCACGGCGAATGATAACGTCATGCCTCACCTTTCGGACCCCATAGCAGCCAAAGTACAATTTCGAACTTCCGTTGCTATACCCATTTACAGGGAGGGTTTTTTACACTTTCAGAAGAAAAAAGAATCTCTTCCCGAAGTTTCATTTCCTGCGCACTGGGGGGATGTCATATTTATAGGCCGCGCAGTTAAAGGGTAAACGGAAGATTTTGACTTGTCATTTTTCTCCCAAATGATTTGCCACCTCTTCTTGAGGTTATCTTGAGATGATTTCGGGGCTTTTTTAGTGTCCCCGCGGCCCGGTCCTCGACCAGGCCTCCACCCCCAGGAAGCAGCCCGTGACAGCTGACTAACTCCCAGGTACCTATTTACTGCTAGGTAACAGGGGCATTCAGGGTGAAAGAAACTTTGCCCATTTGTTTCTGCCTCGTGCGGGAATCGAACCCGCGCCACAGAATTACGAGTCCTGCGCGCTATCCACCAGGCTACGAGGCCCCACATGCGTGTATTTGGTCCTTGGATCCTATCCTACTTCCCCATCCTTCTCTTCTTGTTGAGAATATGTTTAATAAAAATTTACTTGTTTTGTATATTTACAAATGTGAGAATTGACAGCATGTTTTGTGGTCTTCCAGATTGCTTTACTTTTGTTGGCATGTGAAGGACTAGGAACAGATGTGCATCAGGGCTTCTTCACATTCACTCAGTATGGCAATGAATTTGGCATCCATCCACTCGGGGACTATCCACATATAAGAACTGCTGCTAGGGGGGTAAGTGTTTGTTGAAGATATGTAAATACCTTAATTTATAAACTTCAGGTTCTTATTTTGTTTCATGTTGCTACACATGATTATAGGAATTTAAAAAATGTAAATCATTGTAATCATACCTTGTCATTTTTTTGTATTAATAAATTAATAATAATAATAATAATAATACGGTTCTAGGTTATAAGCCGCTAACTAGGTTCTACCTGTTATCCAGTGCCCTTGAAAAGCTAGTTAATTGCAAGAAATATGAACTATTAAATTAAAGTAATTTTTAAGCATTTAAAAATTTATCTCAGACAATGGTATCGTAAGCACACTCATGTTTGTATTCGTAATCAGGGAATCCCTGACAATCAACACTTTATCTTACTAGCTCTGCTAAATGGTTAATATATAGTAGTAAATAGGACCATTTACTCTATTAATTGTATGCATAACTTTGTAGATGTGTGGTTTACAAAATGTTGTAATTGACATTTATATACGTGTATATTTTTTGACAGACTGACAAAGATGTGTTCTTGGCCTTCTCTGACCCATGTACCTTGCCGCACAACCCAGGATGGCCTCTGCGTAACCTGCTTACTCTGGTAGCCTTAAAATGGTAATCTTTATATGTAGTCTTTTGCATGCAGTAGACATTGCAATAAAACTTAACCCCCCCCCCCCAAAAAAAAATAAAAATAAAACTTCAGCAGTCACCCTCTCTAACCTCATAAAATCTCTGGACAAACTCACATGTGAGTGCATAAATTGTCAATCTATTGGCCTATTCCTCTGACAGTTCAACGTGTATTTTATTCATAAGTTGAATAATGAAGTACCTATGTAGACGATGAGTCACAATAACGTGGTTGAAGATATGATGACCAAACCGCACATCAGAAGGTGAATAAACAACAATGTTTTGATTGGTCCTGGAGCATTATCGCCTTGATAATGGTCCAGGACGGACTGAAACGTCGTCGTTTATTCATCTTCTGATGTGTTGTCTGGTCATCAATGAAGTTCCTAATTTAAATGAACAAATCCACAAGGGCCGTGACAAGGATTCGAACCTGCGTCCGGGAGCATCCCAGACACGACTGCCTTAATCGACTGAGCTACGACAGGGTTAAAAGAGTTTGATGCATCACGTTAGTGTGATCTCTGTGTGTTAAGTACCTAATTTCATCACCATAGTAACTACAGTCCTTGGTGGTGCATAGGTAACCCATTTGTGCCACACCTTGCGACCAATTAGTCTAGATTCAAGTCCTGGCCAAGGAGGATTGTCTGAGCATCAATCCTTGACCATTTGCCTCTGTTCATCCAGCAGTAATTGAATATCTAGTTGTTAACCAATTGGCAGGTTGTGTTCCCGGGAAAACTAGAGAGTATTGCTTACCATGAGCTATCAGAAGGGAAAAATCTCGGCCTACTAACAGGAGTCAGAAGCTGTCTGTTCCCTGTGCCAAAAACAAATAAATAATTACTAACTTAAGTATTTTACTATCTAAAAATACAATTACATTAATATAATTTCATTTATCATCACCTTATGTTAATATAGTAGTTATGTGACTTGTCATTTTATACCTATCATTACATTTATTTTGTATTAAAGAGTGACTGTTTCACCTAATTTTAAATTCGTTGCAAATTCTGTGTTAGCTTTAGAACCTGCCTGAAACTGTGTCACTGGCTTTGAAAGAATGTACCACTTATTCACCAACATACGTACTTAAAACATTGACCCTTCTTGTATACAGTACTGTATATAATAATTCGTAATAGTTCATTGTTGGGACAGGCAGCCAGTGTATATGTATTCATGTTAGGTTCATATCGATGATGTGGCCATGGTAAGTAACCATATGATTGGTTCTACATTATTCTTAGCATGGTTTTGTAATATTTCATTCCCGTCCATTTAACACTCTCGGGATGTTTACTCTCTTCTTGCTTACTACCCAGTTTTCTTTGTCTTCTGCACACTGCGCAACCCGACCCCTTAAAAATAACGTCACTTTTCGCTCGTATGCACGCTATGGCCAAATTTGGACGTAATTTGAAATGAAATCGACTCACAAAAGTGACGTACTGTTCCGTTTTCTGTTTGAGTCGTCCGGCTTACTCGGGAAGCTTAGAAATGGATTCTTTCCATTAACGTTTTTCATACCGTTTTGAAACTTTATGAGAATTTCCTGCCTACCTAACCTATCAGAGGACCCTTAACTTACTGTTGTTGAAAAAAAAAATCCCAAATTTATTTTAATTTTTTTTTATTTTCAAATTACGTCCATATTCGGCCATATGGGCAAACGGCCAAAAGCGACGTTCTGTTTAAGAGGACAGGTTGCACTGTGTACAGTCATATCATCCATTACCAGTATCCTTATTTTATTTTCATTGCCTTTATTACCTCTTGATTTCACCAAATATTGCAATCACCTTTTCATCTAAATGTTGTATAGTGGCACGTCACTCAAATGGTGTAAATCTGGACCTGACCTGTTCAGTTTTACCAAAGATTCCAGTCCACCGAGAGTTTTGGGATTTTTCGCTTATTACGACTTAACTTTTTTCAGGTCTAGAATAATAGAATGCATCTTCGAATATATTTATAACAAAGTTGTATATACATCATACATTTTATATACTGTGTACAGTACAGGTATCTAAAGGAAAACTAGAAAAAACTATTTTGCTTACCTTAAAGAAGAGCTTATTAATCCTTATTAATCTGTGTAGGCAGAATGAGTGCATGAAATAATACAGTAGTGCTGTATTGAATAAAAACTGTACAAAACTGTCTCCCTATTCTATTGCATAAACCAGTTCTAAGCTGCATCATCCTTATTCTTCGATTTCTCTAGTAATTTTTCACTGGAAATTACTATATTATAGTTCCCTCTTGCTTTGTACTTTCCAAGCTTGCTCAATTTTTTTCAGTCAGTCTACCTTCTTTTCCATGATACTTCCTCTTCACCCTCCTCGTTCAGCGTGACTAATACTGAATTGAAATGAAATAAGTTTATTGAGGTTAAAATACACACAAAGGGATGAGGTAGCTCAAGTTATTCTCACCCCATTCAGTACATCGTGTTAATACATACATAGACACACATCACAAGCAATAAACATATTACCGAACATTCTGAGAGATAAATATATACATTTCCTGTGACTAATACTGTACTGTACTAGTAGACATCTGTTCAGCTCTCAGATCATGAAATTATATAAAAAAAAAATTGCTGAGTACCAAGAGCTCTTTCCACGCAATCAGAGTGAAGAGAGATCCTTATTCCCCACTTTGTTTCTCAGTTCTTTGCTGGCATTACATGTTCCATCTGGGCTAGAGATGCAAAGGTGAGCTCATTGCTGGACTTAACAGTGGGCAGGCTGCAACCTGGTTGGGATCTCTTGTTCAGTAGGTTTCACAATTTTTTGTGGTAATCTGCCACATGTGCAAAACATTCATCATAGTGTTTGTCTTGTGGCTTTCTTTCGTTGCATTTTGGCCAGTTTTACTTCAATCCTGGGTTGATCTTTGATTCCCATCTGCTCATCACCTTGTAGAGAAGGCAAGGGGGAAGTTGCAAAGGTCCTTGTTATTGACAGGCAATGAGTCTCATGGATAATGGTCAAACCTTTAGCTAGGAAAGCTACTAAGGCTATACATATAAATGGGCATTTCAACATGCTGATTTTTAGGACCAGAAAACAGGATTCTATTACTGTACATGCAAATTTTTACAGATTTGGATCGATGTTAAGCTTTTGGGCACTAAATTCCAGTTAAATTAATGCATTTACTTGCAGTAAAGGAAAATATGGTATTTTACATTGCAGCTGCACAATGTATAATAATTACACTTCTGGAACAGAATCCAGTAATTCCATCTCCAGCTTTCCAACGTACCAAATTTCATCTGAGCAGCAGTTCACAGTACAGTACTGCTATGTGCATAGTTGACTTTCTTTAAAACAACTCACCCTTATTGAAATCCATGGAAAGAAAGCCCATGTGAGAAAGTGACACTACTAGGGACTTGGCACTGATAATGGCATAAGAAACTAATTCCGTTATACATACATACATACTGTACAACCTTAAATTCGACGTACCCCAATTCAGAGAATTTACTCACCCGTTTCGACATACAGTGGCACCTCGACATACGATTGCCCCTACTTACGATAATTTCGAGTTACGATATAAATTTTATCGAAAAATGCGACTCGACATCCGATATTTGTTGGTACACGTTCGGGTCGACCGAGCACATGGTTCCCAGTCAAGCGGTCCGACCTGCCTCAGTTTACTACAGCTGCCCGCTTAGTGACGATCGCGCCTATAAGAAATTCCGCTTTTGTGGGGATTTTTTGCATTTTGAACATTAAAGTAATTATTACATAATACGCCATGAGTCCCAGGAAAGTCAGTGGTAAGGCTCAACATATGAGATCCCATGTAAGAATGACCATAGAGCAGAAACAAGAGATCATTCGTAAATGTGAAGATGGTGTGCGGGTAGGTGAACTGGCTAGGCAGTACAACAAATCTCAGTCAACGATATCCACCATACCAGCTAAGAAAAAGGACATTATGGGTGCTAAAGTGATGCAACATTACAGACAAATGTTAAAACGAATGGAAAAACAAATGTCTCTTGACATTTGTAGTGAGACAAACAAGCACTGAACCACAACCAGGTCCTAGTGGTATTCAGGCAGAACTTGAGAGTACCCCGTAGGGGTACTCTCAAGGGGCCTCGTAGCCTGGTGGATAGCGCGCAGGACTCGTAATTCTGTGGCGCGGGTTCGATTCCCGCACGAGGCAGAAACAAATGGGCAAAGTTTCTTTCACCCTGAATGCCCCTGTTACCTAGCAGTAAATAGGTACCTGGGAGTTAGTCAGCTGTCACAGACTGCTTCCTGGGGGTGGAGGCCTGGTCGAGGACCGGGGCGCGGGGACACTAAAGCCCCGAAATCATCTCAAGATAATCTCAAGAAAGAAACCCCAGAGAAAACATCACTGCCTGATGTGATAATGGAAGGGGACTTCCCTTCCAAACAGTAACAACTCTCCTCCTCCCCCCCTCATCACCATCTTCCATACACCATCAAGAGCCCTCCATAAAGGTAAGAGACACTTTGGTACTGTATTGTAGTTAGAAAAAAACAGTATTCATTATAAAATGTATTTTTATGTTAATATTTTGGAGGGTGGGGAACGGATTAATTCAAATCCCTATATTTCTTATGGGAAAAATCACTTCGACTTCCGATATTTCGACTTACGATCCGTCTCTTGGAACGGATTAGCATCGTAAGTCGAGGCCCCATTGTACTCTGGTTCGCCGAAGCAGGGGACGTGCTGATTTGCTTACGATGTTGGGACAGAGTTCACAGAGTGGTGTAAAATTTTCCCATTCTATCGCAGGTTACAATTAATAATTCCTTCATATGACAAGTTGGATCACACAAGTGGACAAGTGGTCCATACAACAAGTGAACCATATTAACCAAACAGCAGCCAGAGTGGTCCATACAACAAGTGAACCATATTAACCAAACACCAGCCAGAGTGATCCACACAACAAGTGAACCATTTTA